CACTGATTTGATGGATCAGGCATAGCTCGTTTCCCCATTTAGGCTTCTGATATGTCAGGGATGGTGGTCTGAGGTGGTGGGGGGAGTTTTGTGTGATCGGCCGGGAGATTTGGGTTTAGCCGGGACCAGTGATCGACCTGGGCTTCAATATAACATATGCTTATTACCACTATCTTGTTATCCAGGTATATATTATTTTCATGTTGTACTATAATAAAATGTCTCTTATCTTCGCTCTAGATGGCTCTTAATATAAAAATAGAAATGGCATGACATTAAGTCAATGACGTAGTTACAGTGGTCTCACCTTCAAATCCTGTAACAGTTAACAAAAGTTCCATACTTCTATATTATCCTCTTACCCCTCTATCCCACCTTCACTTTTCCCTTCTTTCATCATTCTCTCTCCCACAAACACATCAATTCATCATGGCTTCTACCGATATTGCCACCAGGGAGCTAAATAATCCCATGGATGTTGCCGAGTACTTATTCCGACGTCTTCACGAGGTTGGAATTCGTTCTTTGCATGGCCTTCCCGGTGACTACAATCTGGCAGCATTGGATTACCTTCCCAAGTGTGGACTCAACTGGGTTGGAAACTGCAACGAACTCAATGCCGGTAAGACAAGACTATATCACAAACGAATGATCTAGATCTAACACTAGTTCTTCTTAGGCTATGCCGCTGATGGCTATGCTCGTGTGAACGGTATCGGTGCTCTTGTCACTACTTTCGGTGTTGGAGAACTGTCCGCCCTCAATGCCATCGCAGGCTCATACTCCGAGTTCGTCCCCGTCATCCATATCGTTGGCCAGCCCACCACTCAGTCTCAAAAGGATGGAATGTTGTTGCATCACACCCTCGGAAATGGTGACTTCAATGTCTTCACCAAAATGAGCGCGGGCATCTCCTGCTACGTCGCAAACCTGAACAACCCCCATGACGCAGCCACTCTGATCGACAGTGCCATTCGTGAATGCTGGATCCGCAGTCGTCCAGTGTATATTACTCTGCCAACTGATATCGTCGCTGCCAAGGTCAACGGTGATCGCCTGAAGACCCCGATTGATCTTTCACTGCCTCAGAATGACCCCGAGAAGGAGGACTATGTGGTCGATGTTGTCCTGAAGTATCTCCATGCCGCAAAGAACCCTGTCATCTTGGTTGACGCTTGTGCCATTCGTCACCGTGCACTGGAAGAAGTGCGCGACTTGGTCGAGAAGTCTGGCCTGCCAACCTTTGTGACTCCAATGGGCAAGGGAGCCGTGAACGAGAGCCACAAGAACTTCGGTGGTGTTTATGCCGGCAACGGATCCAACGCCGGAGTCAGTGAGGCCGTCGAGTCCTCCGATCTCATTCTGAGCGTTGGAGCGATCAAGTCTGACTTCAATACTACCGGCTTCACTTATCGCATTGGACAGCTGAACACCATTGACTTCCACAGCACTTTTGTGAGAGTGCGGTACTCGGAGTATCCTGATATCAACATGAAAGGTGTTCTAAGGAAGGTTGTTCAACGGATGAATACTTTGAACGCTGCTCCTATCCCTCCTATCACGAACCGACTGCCCGAAAGCGAGCAAAATTCTACCGATCCAACCATCACCCACAACTGGCTCTGGTCGGTCGTCGGACAGTGGCTCAGGGAAAAGGACATCATCCTTACAGAGACTGGCACTGCCAACTTTGGTATCTGGGAAACTCGCTTCCCCGCGAACGTGACTGCCATTAGTCAGGTTCTTTGGGGCAGCATTGGTTATTCCATGGGAGCCTGTCAGGGCGCTGCCCTCGCTGCTAAAGAGCAGAAAAACCGCCGAACCATCCTTTTCATCGGCGACGGAAGTATCCAGCTTACTGTGCAGGAACTGAGCACTATCCTGAAGAACAAGTTGAACCCTATCGTGTAAGCATCCCCATCTACCACTCTCATATCATATACTGACCATCTCCAGGTTCGTCATCTGCAACGAAGGCTACACTATCGAGCGATACATTCACGGATGGGACGCAGAATACAACGACATCCAGCCGTGGCAGTTTGCCAACATTCCCACGGTCTTCGGAGCCAAGGACAACTACCAAGGCTACCGTATCAAGACCCGTGACGAACTTACCAAGCTGTTCGCTGACGAGGAATTCAACGTGTCCGACAAGCTTCGAGTGAGTTAACAATACAAGGAACTTTCAAACGGTCTGCTAACACACTATCTAGCTGGTCGAGCTGTACATGCCTCGCGATGACGCCCCTGCGGCCTTAAAGCTTACCGCCGTGGCTGCTGCGGAACGCAACAGCAAATAAGCGAAGCGCGAGAAAATATTATGGCACTTGTCATAATGTCATGATGCACATGAAAGCAACATGCTAGCAATATCTGAACTCTGGTTTATCTAGGCCTTGGTGTTTTGTTTTCTGTTTTCTGTTTCCACGGCGTTTGTTTCGAAAGGATGGCCACATACCGGCAGGATTTAATAACGCTAGTTAGCGAGCAGCATGAACATCTCCATTTTCACTCATGTAATCCAACAAAAAAATCTAATAGTCTGCCATCACCATTTAGCAAGGTCTGGCGTAGAGCTATCAAGCTATCAAGCTATCAAGCTATCAAGTAGATGAGGATACCGATATATATCCGGGTTTGCCGAGTTCGGCCCGACAGCAAAAAGCTTTGAGAAAACGAATTCTCTTCCATGAATGAATAGATTAACCCCCGGCATCTGCCGAGGGCCAAGAAATCTTCGAAGAAACCTTGGAACCTTGGAAGGGCCCGAGAACGGCCCATACACGGCCCCGGGGGATTTCCAAGGTTGGTAATCCTCATCTGATAAGATGAAGTACGAAATTACCCAGGTGTATAGGTACACAGTAACCTTGAAATATCAAGGAATTATGTCCATTTATCCTTTCTAGTCCATAAACTCAATCTAAAGCCTACAAGGAAGTCTTTATGAATGTTCCCTCTTGTATAGCGTCCTACTGATTTCGGGTGGAGCTCCCAAAATAACCTGTTTATCTGACTCTCCTACCCTTGGACATCATATTTACATATTCCTACTACTTCCAGTATTGCAATTGAGATATTAGACGACACTTGATATAAGATGAAACTCTAGAAAGGCAAGAAAACCCAATAGTCAAAAAGTAACAACCACCCTGCTGAGACTGCCGGCAAACCGGCCTTTCTCAAGCTGCCTAACTAAACCCTGGAGACAAGCCGGACTTGGTCGATGGGTCCGTGTACCAATCACTGCAGATAACTGGATCGACATATTCCAGCGGTAAAAATCATTGGTGAATCTTACACCTTTCTAGGTTGCGTGGCGCGTCGGCTGGAAACCTGGGTCGGGCCGAGAAGGAGATCCAGGAACTCCCGATGTGGTCAGTGCAAATGCAGATGGTGTGCGCAAGTTCGGGGCTGTTGCATTGGTCCGGAGAAAGAGGGCTGTGTTTGTGACATATGCCTGGTACGTACTATGAAAAAGAACGTCAGATGAAGTAGACCCTAACATCTATAGGATCTGGGCCTGCTTCTTTATCTTGGATTTGCACTCTCTATTGGTTGCTACGTTTTCTACGGCTACAGCCAGAAGTACGACAGCATTGCTGCTACGGTGATTCTTGTGCTTGATGTTCCGTATGTGGAGACATTGTATGATGGACAAGGAGTAGAACAAGGGTATTGTTTTCTAGTCTTGAACTTGGCTTTTTGTGTACAACAAACAAGAACTTGGTAAGACCGAAGTTTTCAATGTCATTCCCTCGGATATTTGCTTAGACATATCTTTTGAAAGATATTTCTTCCCTTTATCAGTGCTATAGTTAGAAGGATAAGAAGAGTTAGCCTCAAAATATAGAAAATATGCGGCAAAAACAGCTTGAAATATCTAAAACGACACTTCTATCTATAACATTTGATGAGGACACTTGATGTGTTCAATGTGTTTATGACCTTTCTGAAATAATTTTTACATGTATTCTGTTGGGTTTCTAGCGAGATATAATCTACGCTTTTTTATAGTCTGTTTCTCAAGTGATAAACTTGGGGCTCTATGACTTTTAGTAGAGGACTACTCTCCAGCATCCCGCGCCGGCTACAGGCATACGCTAAACTATGTCCAGAGTTCCTAAGACAACAGATCAGAAACCAAATTGGACGCCACAGGACTGTTATTGGTGCGGAGGTGACAGGTGATCACGGACCACAGTGAGCTGGGAGATTGCAGGGCCTCGGATGGGGTCTCCAGGGTATCCCATGAAGTTGGTAAAAAACAGTACATATGTATATATTGTTCTCCTTTATTATTGTCTACTATGTCCTAGGTACTAAGAACTTCTCCGTACTATAACCCTAAAAGACCGATAGGGAGCAGTGACCGGACCCACGTGACGATCTCTCGCAAGGCATCAAATATAAAGATTTGATATCATTTATCCCTTCGGGAATTCTTGGTGAGTTCTATTTGTTTCTGAGATACGGCGGAAGCAAGGAGTTGCGGTGTTCTGCGCTCGCTTCCACTTGCTCGGATTTTCATTCGCTCGACCTTTAGGCCTTTCGACCTTCCAATCTTCCAATCTTTCGACCCAATCGCATCATCTAAAAATCCCTAGGAAGCTCCTTGGCAGTTGACTAACCATGTATTGAATTCAGACTCTCTCTTTATTTTAGTCGATTTTGAACCGTGTACCAGCCCCTCGATCTCAGTCGGTTCCGCAATCCTAAGCGCTGCGATAACGTCGGCGACGCCGAATTGAACCATGTCAATCCACGCACCGAGGACCTAAATTTGTTTCAGTTCTGCCCTTCTGAAGCGATCAGCGAGATCGAGTATCCAGCTCTGAAATCCGACCGTTTATATTGGTGCTTGGGACGTCGAACATGATGCGTTGATGATTGTACCTGAACAACCCCGAACACACCTCCCAAACGCCTCCTAAACGTCGCAGTCGAGACAGTGGGATATAACTACAATAGGCAGATCCGGTGCATCGGCCATCACAATGGATGGACGTCAACAGTATGTCCCGGGCCCCCCGCCTTCCTCTCAAGGACAACACATGAACCTGCCTCCGCCTCCGCCTCGACACCCACAAGCACAAACGTTGGTGCCACCTCCTCCTCCTGGCCCGCCTCCAGGGGCGACCTATGCTCCGACAGGGTGGCAGCAAAACTGGGCCAGACCGGCGCTGAACCCAGGCTTCCCACCGCCGCCACCTCTCGCCCCCGCACCAAATCAGCATCTAACATACGGTCGCCCACCAGCTCAGTTGTCGATCGTTCCTCCGCGTCATGATCATCAGCCTCTGACATCCGCAACTTATATACCCGGGAACGATACTATTGGCGTCGGCATTCCAGGGTTGTTCGACCCTCATGGAAGAGCTCCATATGATCCATATGCGCACACCAATGCCGAGAGACAACGGTTGGGTCTCAGCCAAATGCACGATCACATCAATACTTCAATCCCGTATAAAACAGACCCAAACCTTCCGCAGACACCCGGGGGCCGCACTGTCTCTTCTCCATACGCGCTTCATGGCAACATTCATGAATTAACGTCCAACGACAGTCCGCAGCAGCAGGCGACAGCCCAAAATACCGAGCTTGTCAAAACTTCGAGTCATCGTCACAATATCAGCGGTGCTTCTCTGGGTGGTCTATCTCACAGCGAAGCTGCGATCCAATGGCCACTGGATCGCGTGCTCCTCTGGCTTGCGAAGAATGGATTTTCCAACGATTGGCAGGAAACATTCAAATCATTGGAGCTCGAAGGGGCTGACTTCCTCGAGCTTGGCCACGGGTCCGGTGGGCGAGGAAATCTTGGAAAAATGCATCAAGTGGTTTATCCTCAATTGTCAAAGGAGGTTGGCCGAAGTGGCAAGAAATGGGAACCTGGCCGGGAACGAGATGAAGGAAAGCGTATGCGCAAACTCATTCGTCAAATCCATGATGGTTCGCAAGACTATGCCGTTTCTACGCCACTGAATCAGACGCAGCCGCCGGCGACTGCGTTTCCTGAAAACAGTGCGGCTTACTTTTCCAATAATTTCCCCGAGCCACGTTCTGCTGGCCCTATCCCTGGTGTCAATGATGTGAGTCCGGATCATCTGAGTGCATTGCACGCCTCCAATCAGGGCCAGAAACCGACTGGGCAACGTTCTGTTACCATGCCGGTCTCTGCTGGACACGATTCGCCGAGATATAATGACTCCCCGGCGCGAGAAAACTGGTTGCGTTCTGACCATTTGCGGTCCGAGTATACCCGCAATGCCTTGTCGGGAATGAACACCGACCATCGACGCCAGAGTCCGTCCATCGGCAGTGAATCGGGCACTTTCCAGGGATCATCTCTTCGGCCCCATGAAGAAAGCCCAAAGAGTGGCAGCCCGGCCATGCAGCATGCGTCGCCTGCTTATGCAGGAGCATTCTCTTCATCCACTGGGGATCTGACGTTGAGACAGTATGATCACTCTCGGGGCAATAGCACCGACTCAATCACTGGTTTCAGTCGGGGCGCCACAGCCCGGTACTATGAATCACGTAGACAAGGTCAAGAACTTGAATCTCGCAGGCAAGGGCAAGAGGGTGCTCGTCCCTCGCCTCAAGATGCCTCTGGTCGGCAGTGGAGTGACCAAACCTCGTCTTCGTACTCGAAAGAACATAAAGGCTTCTTCTCTAATATTCTGAAGAAGAAGACAAAAGCTACAGCTTCCAATCAGCCATCTTCTGATCAAGGGCACGAAGACTCGTCGCCTACCACGAGCCCGGAGACTCGCCCGAATGAAGCCTATCTCCCTTACATAAAGCCTGCTTACAACTCCAGCGACATGTCGGTCGGTGAGCGTCCATCCACGGCGACCACAAAGGCGAAGAAATGGATATTTGTCACCGCAGATGGCTTGAACTTCCGGCTGATTGACATCACCGATTTGGACTCTTTTGATTCATTGCGTATGGGGATCTGTCAAAGCCTGGCGGTCGACCCGGCCAGTGCTCAGATTTACCTCACTCAGCCCGGGCAGAACGAGCATGAGGACCCTCTAAGTGACGCAAACCTCGCACAGTCGCGTCGAAGCAAGTCAGATGCATACGGTTCTCTCAAGCTCTTTGTACGAGGGACTCCCATGCTTCCTATGCTATCTAATACCCCTCAAGTCGATGGCCTGGGAGTTTCATTCGCAGAAAAGCCCAATATGTCCCCCACGGCAACACATCACCAGGTCCACAGGAAGCCCCTGGACGAGGATGCCCTTATGAGGCTATCACCGCATCGCACCAGGCCGGAATCTCCATTGTTGGGCTCTCGGCAAAATACTCTCAAGCCTCCGACAGGGAAAGCATCCCCGGCAGAGGCTGTACAGGACGCAAGCCAGGCTCTTGGGTCTGACAAATCCGATTTGCTCGCTCGCCACGAGGAGCATCTCCGTGAAGTCGAACGTAAACAAAAACAATATTTGCAATCCAAAACGCCACACTCTCAGCAGAATAAGAATGCCTACAGTGAAACCGGGTACAGGAGAAACGAAGTCATTGACTTTGATAGTCCTCGTATCTCGCCTTACGATGAAAAGAAGGGAGATACGCTTGTACCACTTCGCAAACCTCCAACGGCGCCAATAGAGTCCAACACTCTTACCAAGGTCAATTCTCTCAGCAGGAGACCCACCACTCGTGAATCTCGTGAACCTCGGATGCAGCCGTCCTTGGGCGCTGCCATTGCCAGCGTTGGCCGCATTACAAGTGCCGTTGGCACACCATTGCCTTCGGTACCAGCTGTATCTCAGTCTCCAGCCAACGCTCAAGACAGTGCAAGCTCCGAGTCTGATCGACCAGGAACATTTGACTCTACTGGAACCTTTTCAAGTAGAACAACCCTCGGTCAGTATATGCATGATACAGCGCGGATTGATCAATCTCCCGCTGACTATCTTCCAGACTCTTCGAGGTCGCCTTCGAAGATGGCCACAGAGCGCGAGAAACCACCTGTCTCGTTTGCCAGCCAGTCGCCCGAAAAGCCTGTTTCTGAAAACCCGCCGAGACCGGGCTTGCAATCGCGCAAGTCGTTTGGTCCAGAGTTTGACTTTGAGGAGAATCAAGTATCCTTCCAGCGAACTCCTCAACAACAACAAGACTCGGATGATGACTCAGATGATGACTCGGACGATGGCTTATTCCAAGTCCGACCTTCAAGGGCCCAGGAAGAACAGAGACAAGCGCAAGCTGAGGCCGAAAAGAAGTCGGAGAGGCCGTCACTGACTGTGAACACAAAAGATCAATTACGATCAAAATTGTCTGTCAGATTCAAATCTCCGAGCACTGCCGGTCCCAGTTCCAGCGGAGAGGCATCTGATGGGAAGGAACCGGCTTCTAGTACCTGGGGACCAGTCTCACCTGAAGATGAGAGGCCTGTACCACGGCGAGAGTCATTTGCCCGAGATATCTGGGCAAGCAGACCTGCCGTCGAAGGCGTTATCGACCACCTCGATGACTTCTTCCCTGACGTTGATCTTGACGCTCCCTACTTGGATGAGCCCTCATCGCCCAATACCAAGGCTATCGGCGAACATGACGCAAGCCTCAAAGACAAAAAGGAAGCCCAGCCACCTATTCCGCATGCAACTCATGCGCCTGGTACAGCTCCGGTGAGACCACCCGAACCTGTCAATTTCGCTCGACAGAAACTTGCTCGTGGTGGCGGCGGTGGCGGCGGACTATCTCGCATGAAATCCATTCGACAGGTGGCCCAGGGAGCGAACCGGACAAACAGCATTAGCAATGCTGGTCCCCAAAGGTCGGGTGATCTTCTGCGCCGAAAGAGTACCAAGATGTTCGGCGCCAAAATTATGCAAATCAGGCCCAAGCCAGGCACCCGGCTTAGCCAACTCGATCCGATTCCGCAAAACAGCACCCAACTGTCCAATACCGGGCCTGTTCCTCAGCGACAACCCACTTTCCGCATCATTCGTGGTCAGCTCATCGGCAAAGGTACTTACGGTCGCGTATACCTAGGCATGAACGCAGACAATGGTGAAGTTTTGGCAGTCAAACTAGTCGAGATCAACCCGCGAATTGCAGGCGCAGACAAAGACCGCATCAAGGAGATGGTCGCCGCCCTAGATCAGGAGATTGACACGATGCAGCACCTCGAACATCCCAACATCGTACAGTATCTTGGATGCGAGCGTGGCGAATTCTCCATCTCAATTTACCTGGAGTATATCTCGGGTGGATCTGTAGGCAGTTGTCTGCGCAAGCACGGCAAATTCGAAGAAAGTGTTGTGAGATCACTGACACGGCAAACCTTGGGCGGACTGGCATACCTGCACGACAAGGGAATCCTCCACCGTGACCTGAAAGCAGACAACATCCTCCTGGATCTCGATGGCACGTGCAAGATCTCCGACTTCGGTATCTCCAAGAAAACAGACGACATCTACGGCAACGACTCGTCCAATTCCATGCAGGGCTCCGTCTTCTGGATGGCCCCGGAGGTCATTCAGTCCCAGGGCCAGGGTTACAGTGCCAAGGTCGATATCTGGTCCCTTGGCTGTGTGGTGCTGGAGATGTTCGCTGGCCGTCGACCTTGGAGCAAGGAGGAGGCCATCGGTGCTATATTCAAACTCGGCAGTCTGAGCCAGGCTCCACCGATTCCGGATGATGTTTCTATGAACATTAGTCCTGCGGCTCTTGCGTTCATGTACGACTGCTTCACAATGTAAGTCTTGATATGATTTTAGTTCTGGGATTTTCTTATACTAACATATTCCCAGTGACTCGGCTGAACGCCCTACTGCTGGCACTCTGCTCACCCGCCATCCCTTCTGCGAGTCCGATGCGAATTACAACTTCCTAGATACGGAGTTGTACGCCAAAATTCGTCATGTTCTTTAAGTTCCTTTGGTTTTGCTTGTTTGACTGGGTTCGGAGTAACTTAACGACTTTGCGCTTTCTCCTATCAACTGTACATACCCTTTTGTTTTGACATGCTTGAAGCGAGATTTGTCGTCTGGATTCTGCTAGTTTTCTGATCAGCTGTACATACATTCTTGCACGTTTGTGGATAATAGCATCTACCGGGGGAACTGGATTATTCCCCCTTTACAGTCTGATTATGATATACTACAACACCAGCATGAATTGCTGTCGTAGTTAGCAAGGATATATACAATTCTTCGGCTTATACATGTACAAAGGTGCTCAATTCAACATGGTATCTATGCTTAAGAAGCGGATATTAAAAAAAAGATCATAAGAACGAATCCAAGTCCTAGGACCTGGTGCTTAAGAGATCGTCGTCGTCCTCGGGAATATCAGCCTGCAATCCAGCGACACCGACACGAAACACACCCTCGCACCATTCGGCAAAGGTATTAACATCCCAGACAGCATCGTCCCGACCCTTCCCTTTCTTACTAACAAAATTTCCCTTGGCCTTCTCGGCAGAAGTATACTTCTCAAAGAAATCCTCATAAATCTGAATAGTGCGGTCCTGGACCGCGCCAACAAGCGTCTCTTTCATACGCGTGTCGTCGATATACTCATTCAATACCTTACGCAGACCCGGTACCTCCTTCTCAATAGTGCGGCAGGAAGGAAGGATAAGTTCGCCGCGGGCGAGATTGCGGGAATCAATGAATTGAGACGGTAGCGAGGCGGTCATGCGAGCGGCAAAGGCATTGATGAAGTCGTTGATGACTGTTCGAAGACGACCATCGAGTTCGACTTTCGCGTCGAGCATGTTTTCCACGACGCGTGGGATGAGGCCGTGGCCAACGAGTCGCATTAGGTTGCGCGGGTTGAAGAGGCCGCCGCGCTCGCGCAGCTCCCAGAATGTACTTGTCACGGCGGAGAAGTCGAAGGAGATGTCGGCGGAGACGTATTCGATGTCGAAGGCGACGATTTGTTGCTTTAGGATTAGGAGGTGGCTCATTAGGAAGAGTTGGCTGTCGGCTGGTGTGGCTTTGGCGGAAATAAGGGTGCTGGCGTATTGGAGAGAGAGGGTTGTTTGGTGCACGATTTGGTGGGCTAGATCGTCGAAGACGGTGGACTGGGGTGGTCAGTATGGGTGCGGGTGGTTAGGGTTGTTGCGGGGAGATATCTTACATTCACTAGGCGGTATATCCGACTCAGGAGCCAGATTGCTTTTCGCAGGGTTGGATACCAGCCCTTTAGCGCGGTCTGAGTCTCAAAGTCCCATTTACCGTCTGGCTCTTGTGGAGATTCACCTGCGTCTTCGGCTTGTTTGGCTGTCATGTCGATTAATGTATCCGCGGATGTGTCCTTCTTGCCCGAGATTTGAGTATCTGACACAGTCAGAGATACCTGTCGGTTGCGCATGGGATAATCGGTGTCCTCTGGGCGAGGTTTGTATCGTTCGATTTCGTCGCGCAGAACAGCCAGGGCACGGAAGACAAGTCGAGCCTGGACGTCTTGCAAAGCGGGCTGAATCAAAACAGAAAAGTCAAGATGGTTTGTCTCGACTTGTTCCGGTTCTTCTTCTAAGTCCGTGAAATAACGAGTCTGTAGTAGATTGCACAGCTGACATAGCCTGACGATATCGGATTCGTGGATGATTCGTGGACGAAGGTGATCATAAAGTGGTTCGCATAGCGTCTCAAGGAAGTCATACAAACCTCCTTGTCCGTGGAACCATTCTCCCCATAGATCATATTCGTCTAGACACAGACCGCGGATATAACCGATGCTAGCTCGAGCAAAGGCAACCAGGTCCTTGGACGAACTAGGCGTCTGTGTGATTTCGCCGAGCTTTTTGCGAGCGAGCGGAAGAAGCAGCTTTGCCCGGGTGGCCGAGTAATTGCTATGCAGCTCGTTCATCAAACTTTGATATTCAGCTTCGTTATTTTGATCTGGGTTGACCGGTGGCACAGCTCTCTTTTGGATCTCGACTCCAATCTGCTTCAGCTCAGGTGCCCCGACCCTGAATTTGGCGTACAGGAGAGCCGACAAGGCTGTGTCATTCAACTGCTGATCCGAAATTTTTTTGGACACATTCTGGTAAATATCCTTAAGTGAAGATACAAAGTTGCCGCGGATAAGCGTCAAGGCACGCGTTAGCAGTAGCCGGTATCTCGAGCGATAGACCTCTGCCTCTTTTTGTTCCGGCTGCGTAGAGATCAGCGATATGCGCATGGATACCTACTACTTGCGTACTCACATGTGTTTCCATGTAATCCAAGCACACGTCCAGATGCCTCAACATATCCGAGAATTCCTTGTCCCGAACTGTATTCCCTGCGCCGGGGGCATTGAGCCGTCGCGATGCGGGGTCTAAGAAATCGTAATAGTGGAGGTTGTTCTGGATACCGTTCGCAAGCTTTATATCCCGTTCCTGGGCAGACAAAAGCCCTTGGCATTGTTTCTCGAAGTTCAATGTTTGTGTCTCGACCGATTTGAATGATTCGGACAAGCTGGATAGGTCATCCAGAAGGGTCAGGGTGTTCGTTAAGATTTCGTCGATGTGCTCTTTCGATTGTTCAAGTTCATCTAGGCAGTTCCTACAGGAAAATAAATCAGTACACCTCCGATAATCGTCCAATGTCGATCGTACTGGTACTCGTCATAGCTCTCCTCAATCAGGTCACCCTTGACACCATTAAGCCATTGCGAAAATTCGAGTTCGTTACTCCATCCTGGTGTTTTCCACTCAAAGGTGCTTGGCGATTTCTCGTCCAATGCTTGGAGGCTTGATTGAGTTTCTTTGGCGGTGGGTATGCGCGGCGGGCCAGAGGGAGCGGTTTGGCGGCGGGCACGCTGCTGCTTTGTGGAAGGCATGGTGCGGTCAAGGCCCAGGGAGTGTGATGGGAGTCAGCCCGCAGCTCATATCTCTCTGTCGACTTTATCCAGAGTGAAATTCAGGCCGAGTTTGATATTAAAGTCGAACTGCGATGTGGTCAACTCCGAGATGCGTTCTGCCGAGAACTCCCGCCTGGATTGCTGCAGCAAATCACAGACGCGACATTGAGAGCTTCCCCGGATATAATTTCACCTTTACAGGTTTGATATGCTCTAGCTGGTAATCCAGCCATCATCTACAATGTTGAAATCCCAAATGCGACGGCCTGCGACGTACTCCGTCCTCGCCTTTCGTCCACTCAGAAACTCGGCGACTCGGTCACTAAATGCGCCATGGTCCCGATTTGCTAGCAGTCAATCACAAAAGCCAGGCCCGTCATCGCACTGGATCCGTAACTCTCTCGGGTTTGCTGTGACAGGAACCGCAGTCTTTTTGGGATACTCATACATGGCTGATGGTGGAAAGGAAGCTTGGATGAGTCGCCCGGAGGTTACGAAGAGAGAGCCCGTTGATGCCAACGATCTCCAAGCTGAGTTCATTCAAGAAAAACGAAGCCTGAAAAGTCCCGGCGTCTACACATGGGGGTCGAACGTTTATCGTGTGGTGGATCCAGGGTCCAAAGATACCGACATCAAGACCCCTCGGCGTTTCAAATACTTTGATGGCCAGGTGCTGAGAGATCTCAAGATCGAGGAGAAGTGCGGTGCAGCAATCACCGAGAGCGGAGATCTGGTGCAATGGGGCAAGGCGTTCTCAGAGTCGGACTTCAAACCCACGGCGACTCTAATTGGCAAGAATCTCATCTCGCTCGCTCTCTCCGAGAGTCGAATCATTGCGCTATCCTCGGATGGGACTGTATACTCACTGCCCACATCCAAGAACGCGCAAACCACCGGCCCAAAGTTAACAGAAAGCTCCTGGGTTCCATTCTGGCCCAACCAGTCTAACCTGAGCTACCGTGTACTGAACCCATCTTTGAAGCTGGGTGAAAAGGTCACTACAATCAGCGGAGGACTGGAACATGCGCTGCTTCTCACAAGCTCTGGCCGAGTCTTCTCTGCGGCGTCATCCACCGAAAATTACCCTTCGCTTGGTCAACTCGGCGTGGAGGGACTTACCTGGTCCACCAGACCCAAGGGGCCAGCAGATGCCTGCCACGAAGTTACAGCTCTCACAGGCTCCAAGATTGTTCAGATTGCCTGTGGTGACTACCACTCGCTGGCGCTAAGCAAAGATGGCCGTATGTTTGGCTTTGGAGACAACTCATTTGGTCAATTGGGTGTTGATTTTGAACCCGAGAGGCCTTTCAAGGATGCTCCTTTCCTTATGAAGGTTCAAAAACTCTATAGCAGAAACCTCTATCTGCCTAAGGTTACTAGTATTGCTGCTGGTGGCGCAAACACCTTCTTCTCCGTTGATGTCAAGCGCATTCTGGGGTATGAAGAAGAGGCTGCCAAGGTTCATGATCTTGGAAAAATAACTACAGACACATGGTCATGTGGTAGGGGAATTTGGGGTACTCTCGGCAATGGCAGATGGGTTCACCTGCAAGATTCACCCGCCAAGGTGAAAGCTTTAAGTGGTGTGAGCGAGTATGACGAGAAGACAAAACAAATGACCCCCATTCGCATTCGGGCCATGTCTGTCGGCACCACACATGTCTCTGCTATCTTGGACAACAAGACCAATGTCAGCAAGACTACCAAGGACTCTTTGGACCAATCTAAAGACTGGGGCTATGATGTTCTCTTCTGGGGAGGCAACGAGCATTTCCAGCTGGGAACAGGAAAGCGGAGCAACCAGTCCAAGCCTACCTATATCAATGCCCCTCCCGAAAACAAGAAAACTCAGGGCGAGGCACGATTACAGATCATGCCTCGTCACAAGGGCAAGGTCGAGAAGCGCAATGTGAGCATGGAACAGCGTGTTGAATGTGGGCGCCATGTCTCTGCCATTTATTCTGCAGTGTAAACGACAAAAAGGAAACCTGTATATTAGTTATGCCATATGAAATCCAATTATAATTCGCTCTACTCGATAATCAGCCTGTTGTTTTGGTCTTATAGAATGGCCGCGATTGCAAACAGACCAAACTCTTATCACCGCGGAGACGCTTGGACCACCGCTTATCCAAAAAATTTCCAGCGCTTCGAGCCCATCTTCCCTCACGACACACCGCCACAATGCCTCGTGAACAGCAAAAAAGAGGCCGCAGGGCCGAGAAGAAAGCCCAGAAAGATGATTCCAAGAGAAAGTTCGAGGAAACACCCGAAGACCCCGTTGCAAAGCGAATGAAGCCCTCTGCCGACGACGAGACCAACGAGGCCAACGACGACATCCAACTTCCTGAAAATGAGGACTACATTCCCCTTGACCAGGGTGAACAGCAGGTACAGCAGGAAGGCGAGCAACCTGACCTGGATGGCGATATGCCTTTCTACGGTCTTCTAGACGAGGAGGAGTCGGAATACTTCCAGCGCGCCAACGAAATGCTGGAGCTGAACGAGTTCCAGGACGCCGAAGAGCGCAGCTTGTTTGTCGACAGTGTGTACTCGGAAGCCAGTGGCAAGGAGTTGAAGATTGCTTGCAGTCAGGGCTGTTCGAGACTCATGGAGAAATTGATCTCAATGTCAAACGCTCAACAACTGCGCCGGATATTCAGCAAGTTCATCGGCCACTTCCTCCACCTAGTGCAGCATCGGTTCGCAAGTCACTGTTGTGAGACCCTTTTCATTCACGCTGCGCCTGCCGTGATGCAAAAGACGAAACCTCAAACCAAAAAGTCAGACGAAGACGAAGGAGAGGAAGAGCCGGAGCTGACCCTCGCAGAAATGTTCATGGCTGTTATTGAAGAATTGAAGGAAAACTGGGGATACCTGTTGACAGAGAGATTTGCGTCGCATACGATCCGAGTGCTACTGCTGGTTCTTGCAGGCGAGCCTGTGGATGTCACGTCAAATGAGTCCTTTGTCGCAAGTCGCAAGAAGGAAAGAATTGAGATCAAGGCTATTCAGGGCGAGGAGAAGGTGGACAAATCTAAAGCCGAGAAACACACTGTTCCAGCGACATTTGAGCCGGCACTCAAGAAGATCATGACCGATATGGTTGCTGGTCTCGACGATGTCTATCTCCGAGCCCTGGCCACGCATCCAGTTGGAAACCCCGTGCTTCAGGTACTATTGTTCTTGGAGCTTTCGCACTTTGGAAAGTCTAGCGCCAAAGATCCCAAGTCGACCATCCGGAGACTGGTTCCCGACGAGTCGTTTGAGGAAGAATCCGAAAGCGCGATCTTCATTCGTGGTCTTCTCTACGACCCAGTCGGTTCCCGTCTGTTGGAGACGATGGTGCGATACCTTCCTGGTAAATCATTCAAAAACCTTTACAAGAACAACTTGGGTGACCGAATTGGTTCGCTCGCTCGCAACAGCACTGCTGGATATGTGGTTCTTCGGATGCTGGAAAGACTTGGCAAGGATGACTTAAAGATCGCCATGACCAACATTATCCCTGAAGTTCCCGGCCTGATTGAACGGTCAAGACTCATTGTTCCCAAGATGTTGATCGAGCGATGTGTGGTCCGTGGCGTCGACACAAAGCCTCTTGCCGAAGCACTTGAGGGTGCTTATAGCCAAGATCCTGTTATTAGACTGCAGCAAATGCTGAAGTTCAACCCCTCCGAGAACACAGCCCCGCAAACTGAAGACCATGATATGGACGGGGACAACGACGGAAAGGAGCGCAAGCCACGGGGCCCACCCCCGGTATCTGCGGCCGAGAAGGCCGAGAAACTGCATGCTTCTCTGCTGGTACAGGCTATGTTGACCGTTCCTGGCCCGATGAGCCAACTTGTCTACACGAGTCTCCTCGCCCAATCACCCGAAATCATCGTACAACTTGCCCAAGAACCCACCTCTTCCCGCGTTCTCCAACAGGCCCTGACTTCCACAACCTCCACACCTCAAATTCGACGACAACTCACCACCCGTTTCCAGGGTCATCTCACACCTCTTGCCTTGAGCAGCAGCGGATCACACGTAGTGGATGCGCTCTGGACCGCAACCAAGGATATCTTCTTTGTCAAGGAGCGCATGGCGCAAGAACTCGAGCAGCATGAACAGGAGCTCCGTGATTCCTTTGTGGGTCGTGCCGTCTGGCGAAACTGGTCAATGGATCTCTTCAAGCGCCGCCGACGCGATTGGGCTCACAAGGCCAAGGGTCTTGAGGAGCGAACTGAGAGCAATGAAGGCGCTGCACGTCCCGTGTCTAAACTTGACCAGGCGCGGGCCCGTTATGCAGCAGCCAAGGAAGCAGCCGATGCTGGTGCTACTGGTGCGAACCAGACTGCGGTGTCTAGCAGACAATGATGGACACAGATAGAATTACATATTGGACGAAATGCACATGTACTCATACAAAAAGGCGTCGATGTATTCAATTGTTTCATTGCCGTGCTTTTTTTTTGCTTTATATCTATTTCCATATAGCTCTCATGAATCGGCATCGTATTCCAAATGTTTACTGTGTATAGTTCGGCAACAATTTCATGAGGGTACTCGGGTTCCTGCAGATCAACCCTAATCTTAATTGTGCATATGATATATGCAAGGAATCTAGACTGAGAGTATACAACATTTGAAACTTCGGAATGTGACTTAAACATGAGTATAGCTGAATATAGATGGCATCGCATACCCCAGCTCTGGAAACGGATGATGTCAGGCTGTGCGGGATTGTCGCCATCTCCGAGGTCGCCGATAAACTTTTTTTTTCTTCAATTGTGTCTTCTGCCTTCTTTCTTTTCCATTTCTTCTGCATATACTAGGTGTCTCCTTGCATTTCTATATATTAGAACGTGACAATCTGTACAAATGTCAGGCATTGCGCAGCCCAGCCGTGCTGATGAAGTGCAAAGCGTGAGTCAACTCCATATCGAAATGATCTGCACTCCACCGCATTCTTTATTCGATATTCTGATACTAACAATGTCACTTTGCTCAGCTTCTTAAAGCAGTGGAAGACCTTCTCATCCCGTTTATCCGATCCGCAGACAATGATTCTGTCGGGTCCTCGAGACAGAAGAACGGCACCAACGGCACCAATGGACACACCGGACTGGCTGGAACCTCGTTGGTAGATTATAAGAAGCCCGAAGAGCTGCGGGATATCCTTCAGCTCGAGATCCCCGAGAAAGGCACCAAGCAGGAAGGTCTCATCGAGGTCTTGCAAAAGGTCCTGAAATACTCAGTCAACACCTGGCACCAGGGCTTCTTGGACAAGCTGTATGCGTCAACCAATGCGCCCGGCGTGGCAGCAGAGCTCATCCTCGCTACCTTGAACACCAACGTCCACGTCTACCAAGTGTCGCCTGCGCTGACGGTCATTGAGAAATATACCGGCCAGCGGTTGGCGAACCTCTTCGGGCTGAACGGTCCACGAGCAGGCGGTATTTCCGTGCAAGGCGGATCGGCCTCGAACACCACCTCCATCGTCATCGCGCGCAATAACCTCTACCCAAGCACGAAAACAGACGGGAACGGCGGGTACAAGTTCGTGCTCTTCACAAGCGCGCACGGCCACTACAGCGTGGAAAAGGCGGCTCAGATGCTCGGATTCGGCAGCAGTGCTGTCTGGCCCGTCCCCATTGACAAAGTCGGCCGTATGATCCCAGCCGAGCTTGAGAAGCTGGTCCAGAAGGCGCAGAGTGAAGACCGGACGCCGTTCTATGTCAATGCCACCGCCGGCACAACCGTCTTTGGCTCTTTCGACCCCTTCAACGAAATTGCAGCCATTTGCCAAAAATACAACATGTGGTTCCACATCGACGGATCCTGGGGCGGTTCGTTCGTCTTCTCCCAGCGCCAGAAGCATAAGCTAGCCGGCGCAGAAAAAGCAAACAGCATCGCCATCAACCCGCACAAAATGCTCGGCGTTCCTGTCACCTGTTCGTACCTGCTAGCATCTGATATGCGCCAGTTCCACAAGGCCAACACCCTTCCCGCAGGATATCTATTCCACAACGAAGAAGACGAGCCCGCTCCCAACGGCGCCGCAGAGAACGAATCCGAGCTGGAAGTTGATTCGCCGGAAGTCTGGGACCTGGCAGACCTCACTCTCCAATGCGGTCGACGTGCTGATTCCCTCAAGCTGTTTTTGGGCTGGACATACTACGGCAACGAGGGTTACCAACAGCAAATCGACTCGGCATGCGATATCGCCGCGCACTTGGCTAACACCGTCGCCCAACACCCCGATTTCGTTCTTATTAGCGAAAATCCCCCGCCATGTCTGCAGGTGTGCTTCTACTACGCCCCCGGCGGGAAGTTCGTGTACCCGCGCGGCTTGGTCTCAAATGAGACACAGCGCGCGAAGAATAACAGCAAGGTCACTGAGCAGGTGACGCATGCGATCGTTCCCAAGGGATTCATGGTGGACTTTGCGCCTCCCAGTGGGGATGAGGATGAGGATGCGGCTGGGAATGGAAAGTTCTTCCGGTGCGTGGTGAATGTTCAAACCACCAAGGAGACGGTTGATTCGCTTGTCCGCGCCATCGAAGAGGTTGGTCCTGGTATTATTGAGACTTTGAAGGCGAGCAACCCGGCTGCTCCGCATAAGCGGCTTGGTGAGCGTGGACATGGCCCTGTTGTCCATCGCGTTTGAGCAGGTGCGTGATTTGTTTTCTTTTGATTTACTTGCGCATATAGAGTAGAGCTTGTGGACATGAGATACGGGATACGACATACAGGAGATCTGGTGCAATATATAAGGCTGTGTATCAATTTGACACCCTAAGAACAAGATGAGCCAGTATCTCGGAGCCCAATATGGAGGTTGCAGAGCAGTCGGTATAGTTTCGAACTATACCTACCTAAACAGTAGTGATAAATTCTGTGCATGGAAAATAGCTTGGGTGTAGAGCGATATCAAAGCCATCAACTGCCAATCTCGACCCTACGTTCCAACACGGACCGAGCCTCAGCTTCAGATAGAGAGTCAATCTCTAATTCAGCAAGTACAGCCCGTGCACTCTCATTATCCCTAAACAGCCTCTTCTCCACATCCCATAGTCTTAAAGCCGCGTCCTCCTTTGCAGAGACGTCCCCTTCTTGCTCGGCCGTACTCAAGCAAAGGATACGCAGCCCCTCGCTGAGCTTTTTGATGGTTCGGAATGAGATGCCCGATTGGCTAGACGCGCCGAGTGCAGAATCCACAACGTGACAGAGATGGTCGACATCGCTAGCAAGCTGAGTCGCTCCAGTCTCAGAAAATGTGTGTTTGGTCAGGATGCTGTCCCAGATGTAGCTTTGGATAGACAGCAGCAACTGGCGCGAGACTCGTCGTAGAGGCGCAGTTCCCAGTGCGCGAGAGAGGAAAGATAGCTGCGTGGACAAGACACGCATTGCATGGGCGAGTTCAGAAGTGGGTGAGAGGGGAGATGCCGTCGCTGTGGCAGAGGGGGTTGACAGCGTTGCCCATGTGGATACGCGAGAGTATGGCTTCAGAGCGGCGAGAATATTGGAGGACAAGGTCGATGTGATAATACTTTCTGAGCGAAGCCGGAGACGACGGTAGGCGGATGCCGTCTCATCGAAGAGGGCGCCATCGGATGAGGTCGAGGTGTGGGCGCCGTTGTTGGCGACTGCGGGTGAGGTACGCGACGCTACCTCTGCGACAGACATAGTACCAGCTACATTGCGACCGCTGTCTCGGTTTTGTTGAACCCGATCTTGAAGCTCGGACCAGAGCTCAACGAAGAACACATCGTTGCTCCAATCCTCCATCTTCTTTTCGAGGTATTCGGCACTTCCGAAAACCCGGCAAAGCCGCTCCAGCCCGGCGACACCCTCGACGCTGGCTTGGCCGTCGGCTCCCTGTACAGTGCGTCCAAGCGTCGACGTCATCGCGAGGTAGGCCTCTAGTGCAGAATAAAGGCGCTCGTGGAACTGATCGAAAATCGTGATTTGTATGTCAATGAGAAACCGCAGCTTCTGACTGAAAGACGATAGGGGCTGATAGCGCTCGGTTATAGTTTCGAGAAGGTCATTCACGCGAATTGCAGCCTTTGTTGGTTTCGTTGCAGTGGCCTCCATGCCATCGTAATCGATTTCTCCGCTGTCCGCGGTGTCGATGATATCTTTGTATCGCGCCAACGCAAAGTCCTTCTCAACCTGAAGCCATCGATCATACCAGCCCTGTTTGGTCAACACTTCCCAGGTCATGCCCTTCCAATTGTCGTCCGCATATGGATCTGGCGTGTAGTTCCACGTTTCTCGGATCTCGTTATCAAAGTTCATTAGTTCATGAATGAAGTGGCTGAGCAATTGAGGGTAGTTTGAGATTTGAGGGAGGAACAAGCTGATCTTCTCCTTCAGCATAGGAAGCAATGCAGTAATGTAACTATGTGATGCATTGTAAAAGTTCCATTCCAGACTTGGGCCGACTGCTTCGGCCCTTTCATCGAAGATGGGTTGCATATAAGAGACGAAAAACCCGCCGAATTGGTTGGCAAGGTCCATTATGTGCGAGAGGAAATATTCCGGCTAGAATCCAGGTTAGACTACTGTTTCTGCGTAGTTATAGGACCACATTACCTTATCCAGTCGGTTTGTTGGCTTGTCTCCACTAAAGTGGTATTTGAATCGGAGATCCAGATGATGCACCATAACCTCTAATGGGAACAGGACTGGTGGCTCGAAGCTCAGTCCAGAAGCTAGTACATCACGGCTTGGAAGTTCACTAAAAGGAAACTTGTTAGAATGTGCATCCGGGCATGGAGAGACTGATCATACGGTAATTGCAGGTCGATCAACAATTCAACATCTTGCCTCCACTGGGCCAAGAGCTGGTCGGTAAGATTCAGTTGTCTTGTCGGCCATTTCATCTCTTCAAGTGTCTTCTGCAGTCGGTCACTGAAGTATTTCTTCATCTGTTGTCTCAATGCGGAGGCTAGTTTGTCTGTGTAGTCGACAAGATGGGGGGCCGCTCCCTCAGCAGCAGGCTGCGCGTCCTTCAGTAGTCCGACGATGGTTCGTAGTCGGGCATATGGCTTCAGAGCGGCGCGTGGTTCGGAGGCAATGTCTGCCAAAGCTTGCTTGCTGTATTGCTGTCTCAGTATCCATCCCCTCACGATTGGTGAATGTGGCATTACCTCAATTCCTCGGCTTCCTTGAGCAACTCCACATATCCCCTGGATAATTCAAGCCGCTGGAGCTTCTCCATGCTCCTTTCCAGGCTGTGTACTGCATCATCACTGGTTTCGGATTGTGTGATTGCCATTAATCGTCGGTCGATGTCCGCTTGCTCCGCGGTGAACGCCTCGGCTTGCTTTCGAGTAGCTTCGGCATGGTCATTAGATGCTTTTGTCGCATTTGAGAGTGCTTCGCTGGCTTCCGCTAGCTATTTTGCGAGTTTGCATCAGCAGTGTTTAGAGAGAAGGTCGGGGTGAGGGGCTGTACCTGTTTCCGCTGGAGCTCTTGTTGCGCGCGTAGACTGGATAGCAGCGAATCTAAACTCTCCAGATCGGCAGAAACCTGAATCTTGTCATTTAAATAATCTTCAACACGAGTCCGCTCATGCGAAGATAATTCTGTGAGGGACGCCATTGTGGAAGGGAGGAAACTTGACTGCGGAAGCGCAAGGTGTCGCGAATGTTGATCTCCGCCTTTTGGACTGACGTCTTCCGCAGCAGGTGGCAACCAGCTCTTACACTATCAACACCTTGAATAATGTCCAGTCCAGCCAAGAAGCGGAAAAGAAATGGAGAATCATCGCCGCCAAAGCGCAGTATTAAGTCATTCTTTACAGGAAAGACCACCGAGCAAATTGATCTAAAAGTCCCCGATGTCACTGAGCAAACTCTCTCCGATGAAGCTCTTGCGCGCAAGCTACAGGCTGAGTGGAATGAGCAGGAAAATGAAAGCACTCCTGCCGAAGATACAGAAGCAGATCAGCAGATCAATCCAGCTCCATCTACATTAGACTCGCCTGTTTCAACCCGGGTAGCGGCGGTGATACCAAAGAAGAGCACCCTCTCACTGCAGTCATCAGCAGGCACAGAGGATACAATATCCCTTGCTATTCCTCTGGATCAAAGCCCCCAGACCTTTGATGCGAGTCAATGCGCAGCAGAACTGCGGTCGCATTGGGCAAGCGAAGGCGGAGATGCTTCTTACGCTTTATTAACAAGAGCCTTTGTCCTGGCGAATGCGACAACCAGCCGAATAAAGATTGTGGATACGCTGGTCAACTTTCTTCGGGTTCTGATTGAAGGGGACCCTTCGAGTATCCTTCCTGCTGTGTGGCTAGCAACCAATTCCATATCGCCTCCATACGATGAACTAGAGCTAGGCCTGGGAGGCTCTTCGATCTCCAAAGCACTAAAAAAGATATACGGTCTCAATAACCAAGGGCTCAAGACCTTATATGATAAGCACGGCGATGCAGGAGATGTTGCATTCGAAGCCAAAAAGCGACAATCATTCACTCTGGTGAAGCCGAAGCCGTTAAGGATCAAGGGAGTATACCAGTCACTGAAGAAAATCGCCACTAGCAAAGGACCTGGCAGTCAGGAAACCAAGCAGAGGATCGTCGAGAAGCTTCTACAGGATGCGCGCGGCGCCGAGGAGAGTCGATACATTGTCCGGACATTGGTGCAGAATCTACGAATTGGCGCGGTCAAAACTACGATGCTGATTGCTCTCGCACGAGCTGTCTTGTATTCCAAGCCAGTCAGGGCAGATTCCGAGGTCCGCCCGCCGCATCAACTTGCACGGTTGAAAAAAGACGAGCTTGCGGAAATCTACAGCCATGCGGAAGAAATCGTCAAAGCGTCATACGCTCGACATCCTAACTACAATGATTTGGTGCCCTGCTTATTAGAGATCGGGCCCACAGAAGAACTTTTGGTCAGATGCGGCCTAACCATGCACATTCCACTAAGGCCGATGCTGGGCAGCATCACACGCGATCTATCAGAGATGTTGACAAAGCTCCAAGGCCGAGACTTCAGCTGCGAGTACAAGTACGACGGGCAACGTGCGCAGGTGCACTGCGACGAGCAAGGGAAAGTTTCCATCTTCTCGCGCCATCTCGAGCTCATGACGGAGAAGTATCCAGATCTTGTCTCCCTGGTCCCCCAAATACGGGGAGAAGGCGTGTCCAGCTTTATCCTAGAGGGCGAAGTAGTTGCCGTGGACCACGAGACCGGCGATCTCAAGCCATTTCAAGTCTTAACCAATCGTGCAAAGAAGAACGTTGAACTTGGAGACATCAAAGTCAACGTCTGTCTTTTCGCATTCGACCTTATGTATCTCAACGGCGAGCCTTTACTAGATCGCCCCTTTCGAGAACGCCGCGAACTCCTCCGCAGTCTCTTCGTGGAGATTCCAAAACACTTCGGCTGGGTAAAGAGCATGGACGCAACATCATCAGATTCAGAGACAGTCCTTGAATTTTTCAAATCCGCCATCGACGTCAAGTGCGAGGGAATCATGGTCAAACTCCTCGACAACGAGCCCAATGCAAACAATCAAGCCAACCTCAACGAAACAGCCCCCACTGAACCCAAAGAAAAACCCACCCGACGCAAACCCCTCCTCTCAACCTACGAACCAGACAAACGTCTTGAATCCTGGCTAAAAGTAAAAAAGGACTACAGCACCTCCTCGGAAACCCTCGACCTGATCCCAATAGCCGGGTGGCATGGTCAAGGCCGCAAAGCAAAATGGTGGTCCCCGATCCTGCTAGCAGTCCGCAACCCGGAAACCGGATCCCTGGAAGCCGTAACAAAATGCATGTCCGGGTTCACGGACAAGTTCTATCAAAGTCACAAAGAAAAGTACGCGCCGGGTAACACGAACGTCATCTCGCGTCCCAGCTACGTCGAGTACCACGGCGAACCGGATGTGTGGTTTGAGCCGTGCGAGGTGTGGGAAATGGCTTTTGCGGATATCACGCTTAGTCCTACGTACCCGGCTGCTATTGGGTTGGTTAGTGATGAGCGGGGATTGAGTCTGCGGTTTCCGCGGTTTATTAAGGTTCGTGAGGATAAGTCCATTGATGAGGCTACTTCGTCGGATTATTTGGCGTTGTTGTGGCGGAAGCAGATGGAGCGGACTGGGGAAGTTGGGGTGGAGGTTGGGGAAGCTGAGGGTATAGAGGGAATAGAGTAGAGAGCTTTTGTAAACTAATATTAAGGGTACATGTCGTAATTTGGATATCTACGGAGTACTTGCTGTTCTAACGTTCTAACGTTCGTATGCTAAATAAGCCATCACATGTGACTTCCTCTGATTGGCCTAAAGCCTCTTAAAGTACAACGCGAAAGTGACGCGAAAAGACGCGAGGGTTGGACGTAGAAATGAGGGGTTGACTACGTCTAACTGCTCAGGAAAGTTTGTGTTAGGCTGAGATGGGCTGAAAGTGATCCATATTTAGATTTAGATGTGTATCTGGTGTTCTAGGCCAATGTAATAAGAAAAGGGCTAAGGTGTGTGGGAGCTGAGGTACATGTATGTTCTCAACATATTCCAATTGATCTTATAGACAAGAGCCATGCAGAAATATTAAACAATCTCATCAGAAGCATGCTGGGATCCAGGGTTTCAGAAGACATGATGGGTGCGAAGAAAGAGAAGATAGGGGTCAACAGTGAAATTGCCGAGGACAAACAATGACATAGAAAAGGCAAGACGTATAGTATAGTCTTGATGAATGAGAGGTAATGCAAGACATGATAGTAAAGCATTTGAAAACACAACGCCGGTGGATGCAAGTCCGGGTAGAGGCATTCCCAATCGAGACCCAGGTCATCGAAAGAGCAAGCCCCTACACTGCGGAAAGAGGGCAAATTACATAGGGGATGAACACAATGTGTTCATAACATGATCATAAGAAAGTCGTCAACGGGGTTTAAGAGGGAGGTAAGGCAATAAAAAAATGAACAGAGAAGAGAAAATGGAGGGAGAAACGCTAGGCTTCATGGGTGCAGTTCGCCGCCGAGTTGTAACGCCAACCCCGTTTCCTTGCCACGAAGTCGAGGGCTGGAATTGCTCGGAGGGACCAGAGCATCGAAGTTCAATCGTTTTCGGTTGCTGGTAAGCGGCGTGCGAGCAGGATTGCGTGGGGTGCGGCCATCCCACGTTGGTTGCGCTGGGCTAGGGGTGACATTCACGAAATCAGCAAAATTGAATTGCTGATTTGGTGTGCTGATATTGGCAAACATGCCACCGCCCAGTGTAGGTGTCATGCCTGGCAGTACTGCGTGCTGGCTGGGAGGAGTGGAAGGTGGGAAGGCGTGGTTTCCGTTGCCCCTTGCAACCCGGGCTGGGGTCGGAGAATTGGCGAGGTACAAGAGGAGATCTGCACCATCCTCGTGGTTTTGGGGGCGGGACAATCGCATGTGTTTTGGAGGAGGGGTTCGTGGAGGGGAGGAGCCTACGACCGAGCTCATGGTCTGGAAACTGTGCAGCGGCAAGTCGGGGTCGATCTCTTCTGACGGCCTAGGATATACAGGCGATGACATCTCCGGGATTGTAGCCTCGGACATGAAGGGGGCTTGTGGGCGTCGGCTCGGGCGGTGCCGGTTCATGCCAGGAGAGGATTCGGGCAGCCGGTGCGAACTCTTCCACGAGACCCGTGGGGCCTTGGCAGGACGTTCGGAATCGGAGTCAGATCGGAGGCGCTTTCGACTGGCAGAGAGCATGGGCTGCATGACTCGAGAGTTGAAGGTGGCAGCATGTTTATTGCGGGCGGATCGAGGGAGTTCCTTGGAGTAGGTGGAGGCTTGGAGGGGGGGGAGGTGAAGGGGGTCTCGCAACGACTGCGTGAGAACTCGGATGAAGAGTCGGAAGGCTTGTCACTCTCAAGAACGGGTCTGCCATCCTGGTTCGGGTTCAGGCCATGCAGTCGACCGTGTTGGTACTTGAGTTTGGCAAGACCCAATCGATCCTGCAGACTGAGAGAAACCTGTGCGAAGAGAATCCAGAGTCAGTCCCACATCGCCAACAAGATCATCTGAAAGCATTTGGATGCAAGTATTTAGACTAACAGCCAAGACTGTATCTCAAGGGATTCTCTTTTTTTTTCTCTCGTTCTCTTACCTGGGCGATATCAATTTTGCGGATCGGTTTTTCTGCCGAGCCCGGCTGTGATGGAGGCATTGTATCAGGAGCCCAGAAAACAAGACACCGCTATGCAAAAAGTCAAGAGGTTTTCGAGTCGATGTTGGGGTTGGGGGGGGAGCAAGGGCGAGAGGGAAGGGAGATTGGCGAAATGCGGGAAGTCCGAGAACAATCCTGGAGAAGCACTTGAACAGATTGGGACAGCTGAAAGAGATGAATTTCTATTCGCTCAAGAGTATCAAACGGACATTGGAAAAGAACATCTGTTTTTAAATGTTTTCAAACTGTGAATCTCTGTTCTAGATCTATTATTCTAAAATTATTCCATATGCCTATATTTGTACATGTAGACTATACATGTACTTCTATGTATGTAGTCTATATAATCTTGACCAGTTCAATTATTCTATTCTATGTGTTAATCATTGCCAAAATCGATCTATCATTTACCTTTTTTTCTTTCTATCCAGTCTACTCAGCCTCAGAGAAGAAAAGTGTTTTCCTGCAGAATTCCGGGATCCCCATAGAAACCAAGCATGCAGCCACAAATTCCGATCCACTTGAGAATGAAGCCAGTATGCTCTAAGATCGCCGAAAGCATTTTATACTGTGTACTTGGAACATATGTACGGAGTCTGCCCAAAACCCTGAAAATATCGAGAAACCCCTATGGATACATAGAAAATAACTCAATTCGGATTTGGGCTGTAATTATATATATCCCCATTAGAAACTAGGAACCCTCTTAGATTAGCCACGTACCAAAAAAAGAAAATGTGGCATAACGTTAGGAAGCTTAGGGAGCCAGGCCCTGAAACGTTAGAATAATAATAATGCCACATAGGCATGCCGGTGTGGTCACAGGGTATGTGAGAGCTCTCAGACAAGATCTAAGCTAAGGATATTAGTGCGATCAGATCCACACTGAAACATTGCGACTTAAAAAGGGTTTGAGATAACGAGGTTGAGAGAGGGTACGTAATATACCCTTGAGGCTTTTTAGAGTGCTCTAAGTACATAGTGCTCCTTAAATTTTTTTTTTTTTGGAGCTAAGAGGGCAATCTCTGATGAGAGCTTTTTTCTTTCAACATCTCAAATCACCTTGAATCGGAATTTATCCCCTTTTCTCCCCTTAATCTGGTGACTTGCGGGGCGATTCGTCGTCAACCGCAAACGGGTTACCTTGTTCCTGACTATTTACTCGGGAAAAAAAATACCCTGTCTTTTCCTCTTCTCCCAACATCGTCATGCCGTTCTTCAAAGACCTACGGCGTCGATCAAAGGCAACTTTTCACAAGACTCCATCTCAAAGTGTGGAGGAAGTCTCCGCAAAATCATCATCTACCATCGACACTGCCTCCCATAACTCCATCACTCCACCGTCATCGATCAGACCAACTCTTTCCACCCCCAGTCTGCCAGCTCTCAATGAATCCGAAACGAGCAGCGCAGTCAGTACCCCAGTGGTCCCATCTACACAGCGACCGGGGCATCTGGTCCCCGGTTCTCAGCGAAACAGCGTGATCGTACGTACCCCCGTAGTCATTCCTGACCACTGACTATACTGACTATAATCGATTGGTAGGGTAGTAGCTCGTCCTCCGTCAATGGCGTGTACCGATCACAAGCTCCCGTCTCGCCATATGCCCCGAGAGTCGTATCTGTGGCTGATAATTCATGGGTATGTTGACCTGGGAATCGAAGAGCACATAGTGTCTATGGTGAAATGGTGTCTGACTGTCGTGCAGGTCAATCAGAAAGTGCTGCTAGTGTACGGTCAAATCGGCGACCCAAGGCAACATCCGCTAGACGGAAACGTCACCGTCTATCACCACCAAGATAATTTCCCGTCGACCGGCTGGCCCGTCACGGCATCGCATTTTAAAGTCCTCGTTCATCTAGTTCCCGGTCCTAATCGCCTTCGCTTTGACTTTGTCTCGCCGAAATTGTCCACGGGCAGCACCCACCCCGCCATTCACTCTTCTTGGATTTGCATCAACTATCTTCCTTTAGTCAACAACCCGCCATTACAGCTAGTGATTCTCCTAGGGAAAGACTCAGATGGCACATACGACGCAGTACCGGAAAGAGTAGAGCGTGAAGGAAATGGGTTGGAAATGGCGATTCGAAAGTACCGCATGGCAGCCTATCTCTGGCAGGCCTTCACCGGTGAACAGATGTACCGCAATAATTTCGGGCGGCGTTGTTTCCGATTCGAGGAAGAGTGGCAGTCTGGTAGCTTGAGCCGTCGGGACTTGGCCCAAGGCCTGATGCGGAATGAGGCCAAGATCCACGTAGTCCGCACGGAGAAAACAGTGGCTGAACTTCGAGATCTCAATATTGCCCAGCAGAACGAGAAAGCCAACAAGAAAGACGAGTTGTTCGCCATTGCTAAAGAAGCGGTGCGAAATCACTTCCAGCCCCAAGCCGGCCAGAAGCAATACGTCTCCGTCCTTCTCCTCGATTCTCATTGGGATACCGCATCCCAGATGATCACCGGCCATGCGGCTTTAGGTTCGGGCGACGACGATATTAAAATGGCCATATTTGGGTCTCATTGCCTCCAAACCTATCCATCGTGTCTGGAAGAAGTCGTGGATGCGTTCTCGGACTGCACCCGCACGGATACGAACCACGTCGCCAATGACTGTGGTGACGCGGGCTCCAACTGGGAATCAGCAAACCTGGGCATCGGTGCTCACCTCCACGAGGTGGGCCATCTCTTCGGATGTCCCCACCAGGAGTCAGGAGTCATGCTTCGCGATTATGTGCGTTTGAACAGAACATTCCTGACCCGAGAGCCCTTCTCAACGCGCACAAAGGCTCAAGGGTTGAAGGTGTGTTTGCCCAATGACGAGTGTAGCTGGCATCGCCTCGATGCGCTACGCTTCCGATTCCACCCCAGCTTCCGACTCCCAAGTGACGCTTCTCCCACTTCGGATGATAGCGTCCAGGTGTGGCCGGTTGAGAATGGCAAGATATTGTTCACTGCTTCGTCGGGGATTGCATTCATGGAACTATATGCCGAGGGTGATACCTTGTGCCACAACTTCATTGAGTACCTGAACAGCGAGTCGAGCCCCAACGGACTGCCACGACAAGTCGCGGTGACGGAGAGCGAACTTCGCCAGCGTGTGTATGGCACCGAAAAAGAAAAGAAAAAGAACATTCGTCTGGTTGTCTGCTCTGGTTCACTGGGCAGCTACACTGTTGAGAATCTTGGCGATCTGAAATCGAAGAATTCTGTCGTCAAATTGCCCAAAAGCCAGTCTGGTTACAAAAGTGGCAGATTAGGCCAGTCGGCGATGGAAGGCAGTGAGCCAGAACAGCTGTTACTGGAATGTGCTTTCATCAAAACAAAGCTCTTGACATCGATCAAAGTCTACCATGGCTACGCAGTGGATGGTATTGAGTTCTGCTACGAGGACGCGACCAGCCAGCTATTCGGCAAGCGTGGAGGCAAACCTGGTGGTGATGAGTTTGTTCTTGATACTCGCCGTGGTGAAATTCTGCTTGGGTTCTATGTCCGAGCTGGTCTCTGGATCGATGGAATCGAGATTCTCACGAGCCTGGGGAGAAAATCCGGTATCTATGGAAATCCCACCGGTGGCTCAGGGTATGTATTTTCTTTACCTCGCAATATTCAAAGCATGCTAACCAACCTCAAACAGCCACACTTTAATACCTCCTTTGGGCTACAAGATTGCTGGAATCTCTGGCTCCTGTGCATCATGGGTTGATGGATTCTCATTGATCATCCAGCACTGATAGCAATTCGTTGTCCCACAACTTTCATTCTCCTCCAGCTCTCGGAGCTCATCTTCATGTCCATACTTTGAAGCTAGCCCCAAACCCGGCTAGCCATCGTATAGCATGGCGAGCTACGACTGACTGCAGGATATCCTCATTCATCTCTGAACGGCTTCCAAGCCTTGCTGCATATTCCTGCATTTTTTTTACCCTCTTTTCATCCCTAATCTGGGAACAGGCAATTTCACTTTCCAGAACCGGCTATCGGCCACTACATACACGAGGTTCTGTCGGATTTTGTCTGTGTCTATATGTTTTCTTTTGTTTTTTCCCACATTGGCGTCATGGGCGTGTTAGGGTTGCATGTATGCATGGTGATATTTTCTTCGACCTAGGTGCGGTCGATACAGGTTCCCGGGGCACTACACTTACTGGTAATCATTGAGCATACCGATGGCCACATGGCACTACTGGATCATCTTGTAAAGAGGGACGTCATTCATATTGGATAATTCATAGAGAGTAATATCGTGAAACCATCAATGTTCGAGAATAGTGTTCAAAGAGTAAATTAACCAACCGTGTAAGATATAAACCCGATCCTACAACTTTGTAGTAGAGTAGCTGCTGGGGACTGACAGGCCAGAGGTCACTCTCCTGAGTAGATAGGTTTTAACGTTACTGTTCAGACAGATGCATTGATGCCTTATTTGTCAAGTTTCTACAGTTAAAGAAACCACATGTACACGCCAGACTCCCGAGGTCCTCGAGGGCGTTTATCGCGCTTTGATGTCAAAAGTGCCTCTCTAAAATAAAGATTACCCCTCACGCTAACAATCTCTATTCGTGGCAAATATATAGAATGTACTAGTATACTTGTGGAGGAGGCCTAGATTTGGTTTATTATTGTACAACAGCCCTAGAGATGGGTCAATGAGTCTGCGGAAAATTCACCCATGGCCAATAACCTAAGCCAGAGCCATCATAAGTAACTACGATGTCCGTTGTGTACGGAATAGCTTATTTTATGATGTCGTCTAGCACTTTTAATCTAAAACGGCTATGTTAGCCGGCCAATCCGGACAAGGATCATTCTCCCGTTGTGGAGTGAAATAAGAGACGGCCAATCTCTCGGAGATACCTACGTACATAGTTAGGGCTCGTCATATCGGAACCTCGCTGGGGTCGGCCCGGGGCCCGGGGAAATTTGATATTGTAGGTATGTATCTGAACTTCGGAAAATATAACCAGAGCCAATAATGTGGATTAGAATGCGTCATAGAGACAAC